TCTTGGTCACCACTGGCCACCTTCCCTACTCTACAAAATGGGCGGGGCCCGATGGGCGTACCGTGCCTGACTGGCTCGTCGTCCCTGACAGCGCCTGGCGACTCCTCCACTATGCTGGTAAGGGGGGGGCTCGCTTTAGCGTAGGAAGCACTAGTCGCTACCCACCAGGGCAAGAAGCCGATGCCGCACATAAGGCAAAAGAATACCAGTTCGAAGCTCTGCACAAGATTTACTTTTATGACGCATGGAGGAGCCAACCAGAGCTTGGCACCAGGGGACCTGACTTACACCTTCCCCCCCCAACCTGGACTTCTGCAAGCAGGCTGTTACTGGCCGCACCAAAGCCCTGCCCCTGCCATCGATGTCAGCTCGGGTAGCTCCGAGACTGCAGCACGAGAACAGGAAGAGACAGGTATGCCAGAGAAAGACTCTGAGGATAGGGCCGACGAAGCACAACACGTGCAGACCCCGTCATCAGCAGAAGCCGACGCTGAAGCAGATGCCTGGGATTGTGCCTCTGATTTTGTACAGTAGGCCTGTCCCACACCAGCAGGTGCACCAGCCCACATCCTGCCTATCAAAGATACCTCTCCGCCCTCCACCTTTGCCCTTTCAGCCCCCTGCCTAGGCTAGATCTCCGGACGCAGGATTGTTAGAATATCCATCCATTATGATTCCCTACAAAATGAAGGACCTCCCCTACCAAATAAGTACACCCAACCCACAAATCGTGCATTCTCTTTTCCCTACTAAATAAGTACACCCAACCCTCTTGCTGCCTACAAAATGCTGGCATCCCAACCACAGGGGTCGTGCGACCAAACCCCTTTACTACTAAATGTGCATTCTGTAGGAGGGTTAACCCCCACCATTCTGTAGGCTAAATACCATCACTGATTTTGATCCCGTGTCCCTGGCCTTTTGTTTGCGCTTGTTTAAACTTATTGTGACTACTACAACCACCACTACTACGACTAGTACGACTACCACTACCACTACCACTACTGCCTGAGCAGATTATTCAGGGGAGGTGGACCTCATGAATCGTACCTCAGACCTTCTAGACCTTCCACGTGGGGGGGGGGCCAGTTGATTAATCCGGGGTTGACATTAACCTGTTTTGCAAAGTGTTAACTTCATCCCTTTGAAACTTCACGGGAATATTGGCTAGTTGAACTGTCTAGCGTTTTCCGTGCAATCCTTTTCTTCCATTTCGTCCACTTAAGTGCCTTTTTCACCAAAAACAACGACCCTCAGACGTCAAAAAAGGCACGAAAAGAAGGCATTCCATGTCCGTTTCTCTCTTCCACGTGGACCCGTCACGGACACGGCTCCACCATCGACTCCGCCCAGGTGCGATGATAGACCGGCTGGTGGGCGGTCAAGCCCTTCGCATCGATGGTGGGCGGTTCTCCGAAAACGATGCCGAAGGGGCGGCCTGGGCGGCCTTGAGGTGTCCAATTGTTCGGTGGTTTGGAGGATTTGTTGGATGCCAAAATAAGGGTCAACATGATAACGCAATGGGGAGTTTCATTGGAGATACTATCAAACATTCATCATGCAGTATCATATGCACTGATTCTGATAGGGCTGAAAAAGGTCGACCAACAAAAGGCTCCTCCAACGAAAGGTCGACCTTCCGAAAGGTCGACCTTCCACTGGTTTCGCCATCCTTCTGAAAGGTATGAAAAGATTCAGACCTCTTCGACGCGCGGCAAGGGGTTTGGTGTACCCTCTGTGGTCCCCCAAATGCCACAAAAGGTCCTTCGAGCATCATTCAGTTCCTTCGTTAGGTTGTTGAACAGCACAAACAGTAGTATTTTCTAGAGTTCATCCTCTTCAAAGGTTCGAGCACAATCACTACCACCCAAACAATCCAAATCCAGAAAGTGGCTCACGAATTGCTGCATGGCATGTGTTTTAACGCATTGCAAGTGTGAAATCTAAGGTCGCTAGCAAACAGCATTGCAGTCTTGGACATAGCATACACTGAGGATCACCCATGCAAAGTGCGATTTGTCCAAAGCATCTTGTACCCTCTTCTTCTTCAGAACTCTATATACATATATCAAAGTGTACATATATATATATATTACTTTTGTATGTTTTTCAAATCTGTCAAATCAATATATATATATGATATGAATAATTAGGCAGTCCTTAGTCCTTGAATTTCCAACATTCCACCTGCTACAAAGGGGCCAACTGGCATGTCCCCCAAGTCCAGGTTGAGCCTGGCCTTGAGTCGTGACTTGGCGCTGGTGTCGTGCATGGCTGGTGCCAGGCCAAGTCGTGCCTGCGAGGGGCGCGGGGAATGAATGTTTCGGTGGTCCAAACATGTCTCTACACCACATGAAGAACACGTTTTCAAACATTTCAGTAGAAGAATCTCCAATTAGGATGGAGGCCATCGCTACTATTGTCCAAACATTTGAAAAGTCCTCTTCTGAAAAGCTTCTCTACATCTGTTCTTCCTGTCTCCTGCTAGCACCCCGTTTGTAATGTTGTCTCCCGACATCTTGCCCTTAGTGCCCGCCGACCAAGCCGATGAACGATCACCGGTGGGTGACCCGAGTAGATGGGCGACATCAGCCTCACTAGCTGCTGATCCTGTGGAGAGATAGGGGTCTACAGTCCAAAGAGTGAGACAAATCCTTCTTCTCGGTCATCTTACAGTACATCTTGAACACATCAGTCCAGTAGGGTCGGGTTCCAGCAGGAATTGCTAGGTCGTTCAACATATTCGCATAATTTCGCTTCACATGTCCAGGGGTCATATTCTACGCATCTGTTTGATGCTTACCTTCTGACATTTAGCCATGCCTTGGGCTTAGCATCCTGGTCATTTGTCTGGTCTGAACATCTTGCCAAGATATCCTGAGAAACATCCGGATCAAAACCAAGGGACTCCGGAAAAAGAAAGGGTGCTGGAGAACCCCCTTCCCCAGCCTCCTGCACAGCACCGCTCCCTCTGTCAAACACAGCGAAGTAGATACGCAGGAAGACCTGCCGGTCGAAAGGTGATCCTCCGTGATGCGGTGATGCTCGGAGCAGCTGAGCAGCTGGGTGGCCGTCATGCCGGCAGGCCGAGAAACCAGCCGAACTCACGCGTTGGTTCCCAAACGCAGTTGGTGTTTTTCACTCCAAACGGCTGGGCTCAGGGAGGTCTGTCCGTCTTCGCCAAGCTGGGAGAAATGGGCCAGAAACGGAGCCCAGGAATCCCAGCTTCTCCTATGCTCATATTGAGTGATAGATAGCAGTAGATGCAAATAGGTCCTTAAAAACTCAAATCGTGATGAAGGAACCTCTCAGAGCTTTGCCAAAAGAGGGTTTGGTTCACTGCTCAAGAAGCTGTCAGTGTGGGAGACATCAAAAGTGCTCTCACCACTGCACGCCTCACCCAAGACCATGCCAGGGCCATGGGCCGCTGGAACTTGAATCATCATGAAGGCAGGGGTGCATTCCACGTCCTCTCCTGCAATCCGAAGACTTCACGAGGCTTCTTGGCGATGCACATATGATCTTGAATGAAAACATCAAACAATGCGGTTGCAATACAAAACAAAGTAGTCAATCGTAGGTTTTGGGCACACAAGATCAATCAATCACCACCTAAAATCACCACTTGTATAAGCTTTGTAAAACCGCAAAGTCTTGATCCAAGCTAGTATGAAGTAATGTGGCCCTCAGATTTATAAAGACCCCTAGAATTATGTCGTTTTTTTTTTTCCCTGCACTGATTTATAAAGGCCCCTAGAATAATGTCTTTTTTTTGGGAGGGGTAGTTGTAGTGGAATATGTTTTATTGTTATAGTCTACTTTTTCCCTTTTGATTTGCTTTACTCATTCTCTATTCCTTATTAACTTTTCCTAAGCTCTTTAGTGTTGAAGCTTTCCAAAAGTTTCCAACAGTCAGTGCGCACTTTCTTTATATATAAAATCCCTTATTCAAAAGTATTGAAAAACAAAACAAATCATTCAAGCAAAGGGGGTAGTCCAGCAAGCAGCTTTCTGACATTATTTAGGGGGGGGCCCCTAGAATAATGTCTAGAGATTTGAGGCTTTAAATCTTTATTCCTTTTCTTTGCCTTTTGATTTGCTTTACTTACCATTGAAATTGCAGGTCTTTGGATTGAGATTTCCATTGAAATTTAAACAGTTAGTTCTATTTCAATTTCCATTGATTCATTCCCTTTATTGTAATTAATATTCCAGATGTCTTCAAAGTTAGGAATTCTTATTTCCTTTTAATTTAATATTGCCAGAGTAGCTCCAGAGGTAGCTAGCTAAGGATTCCTTATTTAATTATCAACTGATTGATTTTCTTATACATTATTTTGGAGGCCTTGGTTGGGGGGGGGTTATAAATCAAGGGACTACATTGGTGTTCTTCCACCATGGTATAGTAACCACTTTCAATCTCTGTCTGTCAACTTCTCGCCTTCCCCACCATGAAGCATGTACTGCTTGTTGGTGAGGACAAAGTCACCTTGTGAGCAGGCTCAGGCCACTGAGAATTCCCGATGGGCAGGTGTGACGACTGGGTCGAATCGAGCGTCGAATCACACGAATTAGAATCCAAATGACCTAACCCAACAAACAAACTAAACACATGTGTTTTTTTTGGGGCTGGCTTGGGGATGAAAAGCATGAAGAGCATATACGGCACACAGCGGAGTCTTTCTGATGCCCACCTCAGCAATTCCTTTCTCGCATGCAGCACAGCTCGCCAAAGGAGTCGACCCAAATGACCCCACCGGTGGAGATTTGGGCTGTCTCCTCTTTTATCGTTTTGGGCCGTCTCCTCTATGTGTGCAGGTCCATGTTCGGTCCGCTTCTCCCACGAACTGGGCCATCCAGGCGGGCTTCTCCCGCTGTGTTCACCAAGGTGTAGGTGATGTCAGGATGGCTCTGCTCCGTTAGACTGGCAGCGATGAGCGCAGTTGGCACTTCTGGTTCTGCAACAATGATGCCACCTCATTAGGTATAATCCCGTGACGTATGACAACCTCTTTGACCCAACAACTTTCACAAGGCTTGATGCTGTCACTGCACCACCTTAACCCATTCAAACCCCTGCTCCCTCCTATGGCCTTTCCCCCATCCTTCTAGGGCAGCGGATATCATTGGTTCACAGGCCCACGACTGATGCGACTTGGTCATTTTCAAAAGCGACTTGGCGACGGCCGGGTTTCACCTGGAGCATGGAGCTGCAGTCAGGCGGTTCATCACTTCCTTGAAGAGACGGCCCTGGGAAGAGAAGGCCGCGGACCCGGCCGCGGAGCTGACGGGTGACTGCAGGAGGACATTAAACTAACACATCTACCACAAAGGGGTATGTAGCTGTTGTTTTCAAACCAACCATGCAAGTAGATGCAAGTTGTGAAATTACCAAGATTCACCCCCCCCAAAACGGGTTTTGCCAGTCTTTCTGGTAGGCAATCAAAGCTTCAAACGCCGAGGATGGGCTCTTGCATGCTCTTGCTCTCATGAAACATTGTCGTTGAAGTCATGAATTGGGGCTGTTTAGCCAACTAAGTCGAGAACATCTTCACCCGTCTCCAGTCGAAACAGCGAAACTCAGGGAAGGTGGTTTGTTTGCTCCTGGGTTATAGAGGTAGTCAGGGCGTATCTCCGTCCACTCTCCAAAACAATAAAGATCAATTTCAATTTGAGATTATCTATCACTGGCTCTTACCTGACCAACCCCTTGCTGTGGCAAAAACTACGATGAATCCTGAGGGATTTCTTTCATTTTTTCAAACGTCATTCCCCGAATTGAACCAACTCTCTTACATGAAGAGATTTAGTCTTTGGGACCCCGGTGACCTATATCCTCATGAAGAGAATTAAGTCTTGGTGACCTCTTCTGATTGATCCACCCAAATAATAAATAATTGCGACCTTCTGGCACCCCTCAAAACAACAAACCTTCCGGGGGTTGATTTATTCAACGTTTAAAGACTCAACCAAAGCGGGACATCAGTTTTAAGGGGTCCTCCTTACTTATGAGGTTCCAGTCCAGGGACACTCCCTCATTTAGACCTTCTTTCGACCGAAAGACCTGCGCCGTGAAGAAGGTCGTGCCGGTGTCCACGATGGCCTGTGCCGACAACACAGGTCGCCGCACACAAAGCCGCGAGACGGGCTGCTATTGGATGCAATTATACGTATGATTTGGGTATATCATATATTATCCACGACTAGTTGGGGGAATTTCTTCTCGCCCGGAATTTCCTTATGCAAACTTGCTCATGGAAAATTTGTCACACTACTCATCTATTGCTAACCAACCGTACCCACTCAATGTTCGTCTTGAGCTGCCCTTAATCTCCCAGGGACCGACTCCTGCAGAGTCTCCGTTTTTTGTCTATTGCATTCACAGAGGGGCAAAAGTTATACCAAAAAGTAAAGAATGCATTCGCACCAAGCAAAGTTTCGACAATTTGTCCTTCAAATCTTGAACGGTTGAACGCCTTAATTGGTAATTCACCTTGTGAAGTGACCGTGTCTTAAACCGGTTGTTCCGTGGGTGGCGCGCATGTTTTGTTACATATTTGTCTTTGTCTACATACACACCCTTGGGTACCCCACCTATGTGGAAGGACCTTAAGGGGCGATGACGGATCGATCGCAAGTTGGTTTGGTATATCATATATCCTTTTACCTGTAAGATTGCATGATTATGGATAGTAACGGTCTTGTTCAATAATCGTGTTAATGGTTTACTGGCTGTTACAAGGGGTCTAGGACAAACCCAAACATATATCCCGATCTGGACCAGAGACTGATGCCGACCACTGGCAAAGACCCACGGGCAAAGACCGCAGTGCTAGTGACGGCCCAAGCTGGCCTCTACTACGGCCCTTTTTCATGCGCGACCTGTGGCCCGCGGCCCTATGGATCCCAGCTTACAAGGAGTGATGCCTGGGATTGGACTGGTGAGTGGGAATTGACCTTTGAAAAGTATTTGAATTTCAATCGATTGGGAATTACATGGGATTTCTACATGACAACCTCCTGCCTGCAATCCAGTCGTCTGTTTCATCCAACGTACCTCCCCGGCCCATCGCGCGCCTTAAATGTCGTCTGCTCGCCTCGCGCTTGCTTTTGACCTCGATGGAAGCCACCACGAACGCAACATACCAAATGCCCTGCGGATGGTCAACGCTGGGTCTGCATCAGGTTTACATCACGTCTAGACCTCTCCACGCTACTTCCACTGCCACAGAATATGGACATGGAACATCTATGAACATCCCCTGTTCATACTGACAAACAAGAAGCTATTAGGAACAAGTGCATCGCTAGTAGTAACAAGTGCCACGCTAGTAGTAACAAGAAGCTTTTTGGGAGGCCAAACTGCCTGCCCACTTCCACACCCTGGCTGAACGGAACCCAAGCCCACCGACTTCGGTGGCTCAGGTGCTCCAGACCGGTCTGCTCCTCGGAAGAAGGTGGCCCCACCATGAGAGCAGTGGTCTTAAGGACATGTGAGAGAAGGTGGCCCATCAACTGCTCCCTGTTGGATGGACTTTTTGTTGGACTTTGGGAGTAACCCTTTTTTTTTCTTATAGGCTTGATGAGTGTCAAAAGAATCCAACATATCTGTAGAATTGTGATGATCCTTCATGTGCCACTGCCTCAACTTCACACATGGGATCTCATGGGCAAACGCCCAGTTTTAGAAAACACATGTAGGTCGTTGCTGCAAGCTGATAGTAAGTTCACTTTGGGACAGCGGATAACGGGCTGACACATACACACATTGACATGCTAATCAAACCTATATATAGCTCCAACTTTTGGCTCCAATCCCCAGTCCTGTTTTTGTTGTTTCCGAGGATTTGTCAAGAATCGTCTTAGTGACCGGGGAGTCAACACGTTGGTTTCCCACTCCCCCAAAGGATCTCCGTCCTCCTCCGGCAAAAGGAGATGCAGCAAGGAGTCCTGGCCAATCTTGAAATCCTTCAACTGCACCTGAAGAGATCGAATGTGGCACCTCCTTCTGCCATTGGAGAAGTGAGGTGAGGATAGGTGAGGTGAGGTACCACGTCTGATTCGCCCCCACCCTCTTCCAAAGAAACCAACCCACAAAAGGCATGTTTTCTCGAGGTATATCATGGTTTCTCGGTTTCTCTCGGTGTTTTTAAGGGATGACATGGGCTGCTGTGAGCGAGCCGGTGAACAACAGGCCAGGATGCCGGTGCCGGTGAACAACCCAACAGCTGTATGAGACATCAACAGAGTAGATGGCACAAGTTACCCCAAATGTCGGTGGTTTCTTGTTGGACCCCCATCTCAATGTTCATCTTGAGGTGCCAGTGCCATCTACTCTGATGGCCCACTGTAATTCATACGGCTCTGCATACTGCTCACTCTGGTCATTTCCTGAGTTCGAGGTACCCGGAGGACCTGGAGGCTGAATCTTGTGCGCTGATGACTCCTACAGCTTGAGATTGGCCTGTGTTTTCTTTCGCTTTCCAAGAAGCTGATCTGCGGATTTCAAATGAAAGCTCCCCAACGAGAGAACCTCTATGAAGCAGTCAACCAAAGGACCTCTTTTGACTCTGCGGTCCAAAAGCTACCAATTCTTGTAACATCTGTAACCTCCCAAGCTGTCCGATCAAGGAGAGGTCGTCCGATCAGGGTATGGGCGACTGGGTGTCATTTTTGACCGGCAACAATGGCATTTGTCCGGGTGACTCATAGTTCTACACCTCTGTGGTGAGTACGAGCCTAGAGAGCTGAAAGAGCTCATCGGATCTGATAAGACGAGTTGAGGTTGGTTGAGTGTTGTTGTGTTGAAGACCCACTTAGACTGAGTCTGGTGCACTTCCATCATTCTGTGGCAGAAGATATTGAAATCCTGGAGGTAGTTAGTTCTTGCGCGGAGATGGATACCGCGTATAGCTGGTCAAACACTCTGGTCACAGTAGGACTCCACTGGCTGTCTACGGTCAGCTGAACCTCTTTTTTCAGGTCAGCTGAGGGCCCAAACCGCCCAGTAATAGGGCTCCACCACAGGGAAATACCTCACAGGCCGCACGTCGGCCGCACGTCGGTGGGATGCACCACGATTTCGCGGATCTTTGTCAACGGCAGGGCACTCTCACGGCACTCTCATGGCTTGCAGTTCTTGAGGTGAACCGCTTGGAAGCACCGCTTCTTCGTCCCACGGCCCCGCAACTCCCAAGTGTCCAGCTCGATGTCCCCGGAGTAGAACGCCCGATCCACCTCGGCCCAGTTCTCACGCGTGAGACAGCCGGTGGCACGCGGGAGAACGGCATAATGGCTTATGCTTTTGGGCTTGACGCCCATTTGCAGGATTTGTTTACCAATGTTTATCAAGTAAAGTACAGAATTGCCTTGTGAACAACTCCCACAATCGGAGTGCCAAGTGGAAGTTGATAAAATTCAACAATATATCCTGTAACATGTATCTACGCACTGATTGTATATTATATACATGTAGATGTAGATGGACAGTCCATGCTGTACCACAAGAGATTCCAGCCAACTATCTTTGCTCTTGCTGTGTAGGGTGATGTGTAGGGTTGGCGCATGATGGCCTGATCATCAACTACAGCTCCGTTGTGGTTCGTTCCGGGTGAATCTTCTGATCCTTCCCCACAAAACGACAGACCGCGTGAGACCTGCCTTCTGAGTGATCTGCGTTCATTTCAGGCACAGGCCAATTCCCCTGCACACACAGGAGCCAGGCCAATCGGACCTCCCCTCCGGACGGACTCGGATTTAGACAGCGAGGATATCCGAGGAGATCCAATGGGTGCCCGAACTCCACCCCAAAAGATGGCGTTCCCCGCTACATCATCCGGACCTGAAGTGAGCGTAAGAAACGCGGCGATACCGGCAGCTGAAGTACTGGTAGCGGGGCGTGGCATGGGTGGTGGGCACGTGGCATGTTCTACATGGATGGAAACAGCATCAACCGGCTGGAAGACATGGGCCAACTGGCAAACAAGGACCTCTGCATGTAAAGCAGCAAGGAATTTCAGCTCAAACTTTAAGGCAAGCACCCCTGCACTCAAGGATTCTTCGGCCCTTCAGCAAGCCACCAGTACAACATTCAAGGTATTTCTAGTGTCTGAATATGGAGGAATATTAGTCAAAAAAACAAGCGGATAGATGACGTTGCAGTTTGGTCCTTAAACTCTGACGCACCCCACCCTCAACTCGGAAAAGAGCTCTGGATGGGTTCAAGCATGTTCAAGCGCCATCGTTCTTCAACCAGTTCAACCATCTGACAGGTGTCACACCTGACGACCACTCATCCACCTTCCTGCACCTTCCGGCTGGAAGGTGCCAAATTCAGGGCAAGGCCCTCCTTCCGGCGCTTGCGCGCATGAGAACCATCAAATTGGTTGCTCGACATAAGAGACTTTAGACTTGATCAGTACCCCCAAATTCATGAGCAGCAATAACACCAGCAGCTGTAAGTATGGAGCTCATTTGCCATGAATTGCCTGACCTCCAAACGTGCATTCTTTAAATATTGCATCTGATTATCTAAGCTAAGAAAAAATATCAAGCCAATCAAGCACAAAGGAAGGTCCATCTGATGTCCAGTAATCTATGGATTTGATCGCCCGCACGTCCACCCCGTGGCTGAAACGCGTGGCTGAAGTAAAAGGCGAACTCGTTCCGGCCGATGGCCTGCAAATATGAGTGCACTCTGACGAACACATCACATGGAAGTGGATGGCATGGGACCCTAGAACACTACTGTCCTCTACAAACAGGGTCCTATTACTGACGAAAACAAAAGTTTTGAGGTCTTTTGAGCGACTTGACATTGATCCGAAAACCACACCCTCGCAGAACACGTCACCAAATCATCTTTCGGTGGGGTTGGGGATGGCAACATGAAGTTGATAACTTGCTGTATGCATAATCCACACACAATGATAAATACATAGACCTGAGAAGCTGCAAAGCGAAAACCAGCGTTTTTACTTTCGAGTGTGCTGTCTCAGGCCACCCCCTCGAATCCCCCTTCTTACTCAGCTGGCGCAAGTATAGTACTTCAAGTTCCCTTGCCGTCAACCGCTCGATAACCTTTACACACGCACAGCAATCCACAGCTTTGAACTCTCATTCTGGCATTGACCGTATGGGTGTGTCAGAGGTATAGCAACATAGCATTTATACGGACCCAAGGTAGCTACAATTCTGTTGCCAGTATCCCACTTCAATTTCCCTGCCATGGGTCCGCGCGCGCGCGCGCGCCTTGCTGGCTCCCAGCTGCCCGTGATTAAAGTGCGCGCGCGCGCGGACCCAGGGCACCTACAAGGCAGTTGCCAGGTATACCCAGGGTAGCTACAATTCAGTTGCCAAGTACAGCACTGCAACCAACCGAAGACAATTGCATTTCTTAAAATCACAAAAAAGCACCTCCAAAACCTTGCTTCCGTGCACCCCTACACACCACCTACTTTCGAGTGTGCTAGTGCGCTGTCTCAGGCCACCCCCCGAACCCCCCTTCTTACTCAGCTGGCGCCTTGCCAGGTATAGATACCCAGGGTAGCTACAATTCAGTTGCCAGGTATAGTACTTCCAGTTCCCTTTCCGTTTGCCAGCTATACCCAGGGTAGCTACAATTCAGTTGCCAAGTATAGCACTTGCAACCAACCGTAGACAATTGCATTTCTTAAAAGCATACTGAATTGTAGCTACCCTGGGTATACCTGGCAACTGCCTTGTAGCTGCCCTGGGTCCGTATAAATGCTATGTTGCTATACCTCTTACGCACCTATATAAGTTCAATGCAAGAATGAGGCTTCAAAGCTATGGATTGCTGTGCGTGTGTAAAGGTTAGCGAGCGGTTGATGGAAAGGGAACTTGAAGTACTATACCTGGTAACTGCACTATAGCTACCCTGGGTATCTATACCTGGCAAGGTGCCAACTACACCTTACCATTCAGATGATGCAAATGATGCAAATTGCATTTCTTGCATCACCACCCCTCAAAAATCACCTCCAAGACAACCTCAAAAAACCATCCATCCGTCCACCCTCCTCCCCCAGCATGTGCCGAGTTTACGTGTACCTTTTGCGGGCCACCCCCCCCCAGACCCCCTAACTACTCACTTCGTTCGCCAAGCACAACTCAGCTGGCGCCTTCTACGAAGGCTGGCTTTCGTAAAAATCCCTTTCAAACATGTATTGGAAACCGTGCCGCTATCAATTTGGGGGGCCACACATACTGTTTATCTTCCACCCGTTGGAAGGGACCCTTTGAACCTTTGACCTGACCGCATTGAGGACTCCTCGCTTCAACCGAGGACATTGCTCTCCATCGGACACCCCAAAACCTACTCTGCTTGGTTTGGCCCAGAAGTCCTTCGCGGGGATTTAACACTACCACTAAGACATTTCGGCATCTGCTTGGTGTGGTCATCAATGTTCATCTGAACCCGAACTGCTGCTCCTCACCTGAACCGATTCAAACATATGGGGTGGGTCCAACGGTCAAAACTAGGATACCTTGGTTGACCTACTTTGGAGGTCAAGCTACAGGTTCCAGGTTTTGACCCATTCCCATCTAATCATCTAAGTCCAAACATAGCACTATGGTTTGAACTCATATGGCTGGAACCTGACCAGAACAGCAAGGCTTGCGGCTTGCTTTAGCCCACGATGGAGCCTTGTTCTGGATAATTCCGTCCACAAAGGGTCGGATACCTTGCTGAAGCCAGTCGTGAATCTCTATTTCGAATGAGGAAGCTGTGAGAACACGTCTGAGATGTCTGTGTAGCATTTGTTGGCTACAACATGATACGACATATGGCACGGTTGCAATGAAAACACAGTTACTGTGCAAAATTGACATTGAACCGACCTAGCGTTAATCAAACTTGGTTCCAACATCCTTTCCTGGCAGACCCAAGCTAGAAGACAGAGCCTGGCTACGAACCGGAGCCGATTGAACAGCAACAAATTTAAGGGCCTCAATTCGGCCCAAGTCATGTCAAGACAAATCGCGATTCCAAACAGTGTTTTGAGAGGTTTTCTTGGCTCTTTGGGGCTGCGTATGCTTGAGCCTGCAACAGGTCGGAATGGGGGTGATTTCATATGAATACAAGGTCCCGTGCTTTCTCCACCAGTTCATATTCATAATCGCCCTCAAACAACAAGGAAAAACATCCAATGCAGTCCGAAGAAATCACCTCCCTATTGATGGATCTAGCTATCTATCTATATATATATATATGTCTGCCATATATATATAACTAGTTACTGCAATAGGGACCCTGACCCGGGAAACTGTGGTTGCTACCTGCGTTGGTTGGATCCACTTGGCATTTGGATTTGCTTGGCAAAAAGAGTCGGAGAAATGAAGGGTTGAATCATCCCAGCGATACCAAACACATCATCGTAGCGATCTTACAGCATATTTACTTACATTGGGGTGGCCTCAGGGGCCGGACGAGGTCTGTCTATCTATCAAGCTATCAACCATTATCAACCCATCTTATCTTGTCTTGCCTATAATTTAAATCCCTGCAAGTCTGAAGTCCTGGCTTAACGAGGTCATTTCAAAAGTAACAAGTTGCACTTGAACCTCGCGTTTGTCGGAACACACGCTCTTATGATGTATCATTCCACCCCAGGTAGATCCTGCCATCAATAATGAGATGTCGAAAAAACTACAAGATTCTGTAAAAAGTGGTACGTTACCTCCTTGAGCGATGTTTTATGGGATCCTTGACATGTCTTGGCCTGGGAGTTACGAAATACCTTGCGTAGTCATCGTCGCTGTGCCACATCCATATCGATCCTGCCACGTGCGAATTGCTGAGGGGAACATTTTTTTGGCAAAAGTGCTACATTCCTGCTAGCGCGGTTCTTGGCTTAGCCGCTTGCCATCCAACTCAAGCCCTATACGCAGAGAGTTCCTGAAAGCAGATACTGCGCAGTGAGAGAACCAACCTGCACACACTGCACAATGAGAGAACCAGGGACCCTCCAGATACCAGTGCAGGATCCTGTAAAACCCTGGGAGGTCGGGTTCAAAAGTTCTATGCTCCCAAGGTAAGAACTTGTGACCATCCTTGGCAGGTTTACACTGATCCATCTCGGCGCCTTTGGCCGAAGAATTCAATCCCGGTGGCCACACAAAGGGTGGCTGTGGGAGATGGGCGCATGGCCGAGTGGTCAATCGGCTAGGCCGTGTCAAATTGCTTTGGTGAGGATGGAAGCCATTGCTGGATGCAATTGAAGTCTAATATTATCTTAGCCAATACCTGCAGACAAACAAAGAAAGCTTGTGCAACACACATCACTAATGATTAATCTGGATTAATCTGGATTAGTCCTACATCATAGGAACCAAAAAACAAAAAACGATGTGTGGGGGACTACTTAGATCTAGCTATGTTCAGACTAGTCTGGAAAACATTGTGTTTTTTGTTTTTTGTTTTTTTGGTTATAACACACCATGCATTATAGGGAAAGAATGATGACTGAAGAACCCAGAACCATTGTAGTAGGCAAAAAGGAATTGTTGACAGCGCGAAACAACCAAGCATACTGATAGATAAGCCAAAATTATTAGTAGTTTCGGCGCTGGCAACAAGCCTTTCTGTATATAAATACACCCAAGATCACCCAAGTCAATGGGTCAACGACCTGCGTTTTTCATCTGGTAGTTTTTCAGAATCAGAAACCCACCCTGAAGTGGAACAGTGAATAAGGAAAGCCAGAGGTGGTTTTGAAGGGAATCTTATAGGGGTGGCTTAGGAGCAAAGTTGTGACCAACTGGTGGCACTTGAAGCCACTCCCAGATGCTCCGAGTGTGCTGTCAGGATGCCAAGCCTTCTTCATCATCTTCTGAAACCTGTTTTTGTAGGCTGATCTCTGGGCAGATTCGGCTATGCCCTAAGTGATCTCTGCATCGAGTTGCTGGCACACCCATCTTCTTGGCCAGCTCCTCCATGCGGATCTCCATAGAAATCTTAGCCAGCTGTTTGAGCTTGGAAACAGCAACGTCAAGATAACCTCATGCTATTGCGGTTCTTGGCTTAGCCGCTTGCCCTCCAGCAGGATGTGGTTCCTAGCCACAGCCCTACTGCGGTTCTTGGCTTAACCGCTTGCCATCCAACAGTATAACCCGTGGTCGCTTGCCATCCAGATTTCCCACTAAAAGCCAACCACCTGCTTCCCCTCCTTTTTTGTTCAGAGCCACTTCTGAGACATCATCCCGTGGCGGTTCTTGGCCTAGCCTCTTGCCATCAAACGCCCTGGCTCAAGCACCCTGGCCGCACCAGTCCATCCCAGATAAAACACATGCCATGTGCACCTTCATCTTCGACGATAGGTCTCCAGGCTTTCCAGTGGTGTGCTATTGCTCTCCGCATCCGGACGCACACAGACGAAGCCAAAGGAAGTCATGCATGCACATGTGTGTTCACCCCCATGTCATCCCTGGAGTGACATCAAGTTGTGTTCCCTGCAAAAATGAGTACACTTTGATCAGTCCCAGGTCTATGCTTTAAGGAAGCATACGAAAGGATTATAGCACACAACTGCGGAAGACTCCAGTGGTTCCTAGCTGTGATTCTACTGCGGTTCTTGGTTTAGCCGCTTGCCATCCAGAAGTAACCCTCTCGTTCCCAGCCGAAATCCTACTGCGGTTCTTGGCTAAGCCACTTGCCACCCAGCAGTAACCCATGGTTCCTAGCTGCGGTTCTTGGCTTAGCCGCTTGCCATCCAGGTTACCCACCAAAAGCATGGTTTCCCTCCAATTTTGTTGAAAACCACTTCTCAGGAAACAATGAGCACTATTTAGGTTTTCTATAACAAGACCACGTAAAGCCATGTTCTATTAAATAGTGTTCAATCTCTCCATTTTGAAATGAACACGTTTAAGGAGGTCATCGACTTGGAGGGTATATAAATATAGTATAATATAATACCTTATATATTCCACATGCAGCCAACTGGCCCTCGGATCGACTCCCCAGGCCCGAGGCCCAAGCCATTGGCTGCCATGGCCGGGAAGGCCAAGCCCAGGATACCCTCCACCGGGATCTGCCGAGCGATGACGCCGCGAGTGGGAGAGGAGCTTAACAAACGTAACAGGTTGGGTAGAGACCTGAGATGCCTGGAATCTCAGCAGCCAGGGGATCAAATGACGCAGCCAAGAATACCTATGTAATTAACAAATATAACAAAATGCTCCTGATGTTCACCAACTTTTGTGGACGAGAGAAGTTCGGTGTCTAATAAACAAGTTTATGATACCAAATGGTCGAGATTGCGTGTTCTGACTCCCGCAATTTCACTCGAAGATACAGGTTCACCGAACACTCTACCTTTTCTTGTTTAGTGAGGTGTCCGGATCTCTAAAACCTGCTGCACACCATCAAACAACATGTTTCAAACCGCATCAAACTAATCTCCCAGCGGGTCTTGTCAAAACAAGAGGGTGATTTGGAGCACCTATAACAGGTTGAAGCTTTCTGTATTTGCCTAGTCTGCAATAGTCTACAACATGTCAAGGGCCCGCAAAGCATTCGTCCACCAAGGAATGGGGCTTTGCATGGACAGTTGCCACCGGAAAAAGTGAAAACAATCCAGATCACCATCCGATCTGCAGTCGCCACCAGGCCAAAACATGTCACAACCATATACAATCGAAAGCAAGATCTATATCAAATTTCACTAGCCAAAGTGAACACAAGCAATAACCAATCGATCGCGTCTTTGGCGAATGGTAACCAAATCGTCAGCTCTCCTTTTTTCAAGGACTCCGTCGGATGGCCTCCTCGAAGACCCGACCTTCTTCTGTCTGTATCATACCTGGCTCCGGTGAATCTCAGTGAATAACCTTCATGGTTCGAACTGGTCTCAGTTTTGCATTTGATGCTTTAAGGTCCATGTATCAAAAGACAGACTATGACAGATCTGCGCCGCCCATCTGCGGAAACTCGGCGTGCCGAAGGTCTGATTGTACACGGAGAAGGGGCCAATATGAAAGTCATCCACGGCCTGGCACGAGATGAGACGCTAGGAGCAAGGACGCTACTAGGGATCTCCTGGCATCGCTACTAGGAACAAGAAGCTACTAGGGGCTCCTGGC